ACCATCCTGCGGAAAAAAAGCCATTTTCAATTAGTGCGACAATTTATCTTGAGGCCTAAAGTATTTTAAGTCACTATGCAGTACATATTTTCTCCTTGTTTTAAAAATGATCACTTCTCTAACCTGGCCAAGTAAATGTAGAGGTGAAGTATTCAATCTGGTTTTGATGCTAGTAGCTATTTCTGCAAAAGCACAGACTACTTCACTGAAAAGCAAAAAGCTGACTAGAAGTCCAGTAGGGGAAGAAGTCCAAAGAGGAAAATTTGTTTTTCTTTTTCAGGCTGTGCTTGGCTTAAGTGAGACAGGAAAGCCTTAACTACCTTTAAGGTCTTGATGAACAGCCAGGTTCAACATAGCTAACTAATAGATATAGTAAACAAACATGTGACCAGAAAAGCTTTCCCCATCCCTAATTCCACGTAACCATACATTTATAGGTAAACCTGGTTAAAAAAGAAATCTTTCAAAACTCTCTTTCAGTACATTTTAACAAAATTCCTATCTATAGCCAAGAACAGCTTAATAGCTTAAAACAAAAACAATGCACATCATTCACCATTTTTAACATGAAAAAAGACAAAAACATTAAGCTTTTGGTTAGGCCAAATATCATGAAAAGGCCCAGATTCAATCTGACTAATTTCAATATTTACCTATGGCTTAGTCCTACCAATCCTACATATGCTAATATTATCACTAAAAGGGAGAAATCCAGTCTCTGCCTGCCTCCATTTGTTTCTTCCTATTATCTTGCTCCTACTGCCGTCAGAACTTACCACTATAAGAAAAGCAGAACTGAAAAAGAGATCCAGGTTAAAGCAACCAGTATTTACCACATCTGGCTGAAAGCGAACTGGTTTCCTCTCCCGGCCCACCATGCGGCCAGCGCAAGGACAGCAATGGGAACACAGGCAGGAGAAAAGCGTGGGTGATGAAAGCAGCAGGTGGGGCACCGGCTTATGGAGAATTAAAAGCATCTGTGCCTCTAACTTAGGGCCTTATTTCCTTAGGGCCTTTCCAAAGTCACTGGGAAATAAACATTACCAGAGGGTGATTCTCCATACCCTACTAATCAACTTGTCCTGAGAGAGAAGACCTAGGCAAAATCGTCTACAAATTCAAACCAAAAAAAGTTGGTTACATGAAGGTTTCCCAATTAAGATTTTCATCATTTGGATTTAAAGTGGTGTAGCCTAACAGCAGGGAACCAAATGTGGCACTGCGATGTGCATTTCATACTTTCTTCATCTACCTGCCTGCTGTCAAATATCAGACAAGTAACATCTTTGTGTCTCTTTCCTTCTGAGCTTTTTTTTGTGTGTGCTGTAGAAACTGCATGTTTTTAAGCTACCCAGATAAGAGGCGCCTCCTGTGTTTGCACAGTGCTTAGCAAAACAGATCTTCCCGTTCACCTGGTTTCCCTTGCTGCTGCTGTATTGCAGGGACCAGACGCAGCCTCCGTAATGCTGAGGGGATGGACACTGCACATTGCTGTAATCCTTCCCTGTTCACCGCATCAGGCAGTGCTAATAACAAGGGTGCAGCTTCCTTAGAGTTTCCCTCTTCTTCCTAGTAAATCTTTTCCCAGAGGTTAAAAGTACTATGGTTATCACTGCAAAGGGTAGGAAAAGCAGCCAAGTATGAAAGTAGCATGAGGGGAAAAAACCAAACCAAAGCAACAACAACAAAAATCAACAGAAATACAATGGTAGGTTTTAAAGGAAACCACCTCCCAGCAAAGTATCTTTCAGGCAACGCAGCCTGGGTTTTAAATCTGAAATCACAGAATCAGGGTAAAGTCAACATCGAGTGTACAGAAAGGTGTTTTTGAGATGCCCAGCCTGAAATATGCTACAGATAAAACCAAAACAGAGGAATAAACAAGCAGGTGGGGCTGATGGGAAGGTCAGGGTCTGAAGTTTACCACCACAGTACTGGTTATAACAACAGCAGAGGCTTCACTCATACAGATGTCCAGAAAGACAATTTCATCTTCTTGTTGTGTGAGGCTGAAAACACAGCCAAGCACCAGCAAAAGTGACTGACTAGCTACAAAACCAAGCCCAAAGCAGGTTAGAAGGAAAAATACTTCTAATTTCCCTATAGGTTATACATGCAATCAGTAAACTTTGCATGTGGCTATGTCATTTTCAAATCAATTATATAAACTTAAAATGCTCAGAAAGCTACAAAATGCTTTTCTGCTGTGCGTAATAGCAAGGATTTTCTTTACCTGTTCCAAGAACCAGATCAATCTATTACTTATCAGAAAGGTTCTGCCATGCTAGCAGGTTTAAATATGACATAATTTTTCAATGAAAAAGAAGCAAAGTCTTACATACCAACTGTGATGGCAACGCTGGAATCTCTAGTGAGATATTCAAGTACAGGGCCAGAAACATAGCCAGATCCAAGCAATAAAACCCTCTTCTTATTACCCATCTTCAGCGACTGAGCGTATTCCCTAGGAGGTATTACAGGCAAAATTAAAAACCGCACGGAAGAAGGAAACTGTAAGCTGCTAAAGCTAACAGAATAAGTATGTTTTAGTAAGTCTACAAACCAAGAGCTCTATTCAGACCAAGATTCAAGTTCCTGGCTATCTAACCCAAGACTGGGCAATCACTGTCTAGTACTGCTTCCACTCTTCTGCTGCATAGCTTTTAGTTTCTTTCCTCTAACATAAACATGATCAATCCATCAACATCTCCACTGCTTCTCCAATTGCTACGGGCTGTTCAACAAATTTTTCCTTAGTTGTCATTATATTTTTTCCCAATGGCCAAATTACTGTAACCTGATCATTTGGGGACGACCAAGCTGTCTATGTCCTGTTGGGCTGTCAGAAAGGGATTCCAAGTTCTGCCTTGCTTCCTTTACATCACAGGTAACTGTTAAAGTACACAAAAACATTCTGGTGAAAGCGTATTTTAGGTAAGTTATACTAGGTTCATATTAGTCCATCATAGGAACATGATAGTTAACAAAAGTCAAATAAAAGTTAATGCCCAATTAAGAAATTCTGTTTGCAGACAAGAACTCAGATTTGAAAACCATCACAGAGTGTTTCAACCAAGCTTCTACTACTCTCCTAAACAAATTTAAGAAGTAGCTCTCCTGTTGACTTTCAATATAAAATGTGTTCACATCAGATTTTGCATTTCTTTTTGCCAACCAGAATAACATAGTTCAGCAGTTGTTTAAATATGCTCCCATAAAAGTATATATTATAGTAGAAAAATGCTTTGGTTGTTTACAATTATTTTTTCTTTTAGCTTAAATTTGCATTAAGTTGTAAAATTAGGATGGTAAAACTGTTTGTCTGAAGTATGATCACTATGCAGATAAAAACTACTTAGCAAATAAAAAAAAATTCTTAAATCACTTTTTATTGTTGAAGAAAAGGAAGCTGTTCATTGCCCTATTTTTTAACCTAACAAATAGAGATTGAGGTTTGGCTTTTCTTATCCCATATCCTGAAAACACATTTCAATAAATAGGTAGGACCTTCGAAGATACAGACTTATGGGAAACTTCGCGAGTGTATAAGCAAGTTCCTCAATTTCCCCTTTATCTACTGAGAGCTTACACAGGCATATACTGCATTGTGGATTATACCACAGAAAGAATCCTGACCTCTAGCTGACAAGCTCATGTCCATTTTGCTTAAAGCTATTGTCCTTAGAAGAGGACTGACCATATGTCAACTAAACAATGTTTCGTTCAGACCTTTTTGGGGCTCCACATGGCACCCATAAGCCAATTTTCAGTTGTGTTTTTTCAGTTCAAAAATGGCCATAATAATGAAGGATGGTGTTGCAGCCTGCCAGAGCAACACCTAATAGCATGACAACAACAGCGGTATTGCATGACCTAAAGCATGGCATGAAGTACCCAAGTACATTTAGGGGAACAAGGCCTCAAACAATAGCGTTGAAAGACCATCCTGAGTGAAGAGAGTTAAATCAATACCAAATACATCCATGTTATCTCTCTGAAGCACATTCCAGTCTACTAACTGTGTCTGAGTATTTGTAAAGCTTGAATTACTCTCCAAAATTCCAGATATTCCATCCTCCCTTCCTCCACTTTCAGGCTTACTTAATTTTTTTAAAAAGTTATTCTTTTCAATTCATTAAATCTGAATGGGATGTACCAATCTATCACCTCTCTAATCTATCGAAATTATTACTATAGATTACTGTACATTTTGACCTTCATACAAGTTTTACAGGTTTGATTTTTTTTAAAAAGTTAAATCATGATATAATCCATTCACAGAGAGCCTCCTAAGCCCATCATATCCTTCCATATGACAAACCCAAGGTCCTTCCCCCTCCTACTATCAATTCTAATAGAACATCTTCTTCCACAGCTACACCTCATTCGCAAGGGAAGAACTCCTCTCCACCCTTTACTTATAGAGAGTAACAGTGGTATGTAGGAGCTTGGAGCAACAGTGTTGACAAAGGGGAGACTTCCTATATGAAAGAAAGATGGATTTTGCAACCGAACTTCTTGTCATATTTATTATAAACTTTTCCAGTGTCTACAATGAGGTCACACTTGGATCAAACATAGCATGTCTGCTCTAGGACAGGCACAAATATGAGCTGCCAAATGACCCATCAAGAGTGGGAACAGAATCTACACAGTCCCAGAAAAGAACATTTCAGATTATGCCTATTCTCTACGTACAAGTTTAAATAATTCAGTTATGTTAATCTATGAACAAATAACAGTAATACTTAGAGGTCCACATTGTTAATGGGATATGCCTTCGCAGCTATGGATGAGGAACCAGTAGCAAAAAGATGGAGATAAGTTCAGTAAATCAGACTGCTCCTGCATACTGATGGCACCCAAGACAGTTCAGCTCATATACTCTGGCTATCCTATAGTCTGAAATGTTCATGTACATCCAAAGGGTATAAGCAACTAGTCTAAATAGAGCCCTCGGAAACTAAACTAGACATAGCATAGTATTGTGTTAGACTAATAACACAAGCCACATAATTCCTACAGGCTCTAAACAAGAGCCTATCTCGAGCTAAACCGTCACACTTCAAGCAGTAAAATCCCTGCTTTCATTTGCACTGTCTCCAAAGCTTGCAAAGTAAAGGAGGGTATTGTCTTGCTTTTCTGACAGCTAAGTGAGCAGCACCAATGCACAACTGAACATCACATGCAACACACAGGTCTGCAGAAATATCAAAAATCTGCCCACAAAAACCCCCTTGGGAATGAAGTCTCCAGATTCTCAGGGTAGTTCACACAAGACCATGCAAGCGATTATGGAGAAAGCAAAAAAAACCAGACCACCATGCTGTGTGAGGAATAAGAAAATTTGTTCTGAGACAGCCTCTTGAGGTGGTCTACCAAACAGCACACAACAAAAATCACTGTGAGCTGAAGTCTTTGAGAGGCAAACAGCATGCTACTTCGGGTGGAAAATGCACCTAAGTTCATCGTGCACAAGTTCATAACCAGAACTCCCAAAGTTCCCAAAGGAAATTGGAGAAGTTTGCCATGCAAAAGTCAACACACTGTGCTTTTAGTGCATAACACATGCAGTGCTTGTGGTCAGACTACTTTCAACTTTTATATGATGTATAGTGCAGCTGGCACTGACCATGAACATGAAGCCAGAGATACCCACTTAACGTCAAATTAACATTTTTCATAGGTAAACTGTAAGTGTTTGTTAATAATAGGGAGTGAGGGGAAGGGAAGGGATATCCAGGTGATTTAGACTTTTCTTAGCTTAATCCACTCAATGCTACTTCTTTCATGTTACCACTGGCTGATAACTACCGAGACAGGGTATGGATGAAGTGGTAGCTAAAGCTGTAGCTACAGGGATGTAATGAAAAGTCTGAGAGTCTCACAGAGGCTCCTGAATACCTCTGGTCGCAGAACAATGCTATACAGCACAGCACTTGAGCCATACTAGAGGAAACTAGATTCAAGGTATATTAGAAAGCCTTCTCCTTTCAGCCATTCCTTTCAAGGGACTGTATGTTATATCCATTTTAAAAGGGCAAGGAGTAACGGAATAATGCTGGCACGTGGCTGTTTTCTGCCTCTGGTAAAACAGTCTTCATAACATAAGAAAGAGAAAAATGACCACTTTCTCAACTTCAATATAAGTTACTAACAACACATGTTAATGATTTAGGCAATGTGCACGAAGAAAGAAGGAAATCATCAAGCTAGGAGACATTTAGACACAGTGCAATATAGCAGTATTCCACCAAAACACAAGAGCAAATGCAAACACAAATGCAAAAAGGGAGACAGAATGCAGACAAGTATTTTTTTTTTTAAATCCTGAACCAAACAAACTTTAAGAACCTATACATTACCTGCTCTCCCTCAATTTCTGGATATATTCATACTTGGCTGTCAGTGAGCCATTGGATGCAATCACTGCCTAGAAATACATGAAACAAATTTTGAGGGTTTTTTGTACCTGTACATTTTAAAGCAGAGGAAGACAAGCAGAGCGCCAAACTGCGAAACTTACATCTCGAACAACAGATGAGTAATTCTGGCTTTCAAGAGGTTCTGAGCCTTCTGATAACAGCTATGGAGATAAGTTATTAAATCAGGTCATTTTATTTCCCATCATTTTTTTCAGAGTAAAAAATTGAGATTTTAAGCAACATTTAAATGCATGCAACAATACCAATATCTTGTAGATCCGAAATTCTCCTGGCCCTGACCAGTGTCATTTGATTTTTATGAAAATACAGGAATTTAAACAGCAGTCTGATTGTGAGTGATTGTGGAGTGCCCCAAGAAAATCAGATTTAGACATCTACTGCAGGGTCCAGGAGCAATGAACTACCTGCCAGAGCCTGTTTCCTGCCTACAGAAAGTGTTCTTGACAAATCCCTAAGACATCCAGGTCACTAACGTCTCATTCACATGTTGCTTTTTCAAAGTATTGCCTCAAGACTTAGAAAGCTTTTTTTTTTTTTGAAGTACAAAGTCAGTTATGTTCTACAGCAGATTCCTTTTGAATGTATACAGGAGACCAGAAAAGCAACAAACAAGCAGACCAAAGTCCAAGTCTTTTACCTTCTTGTTGGACACATAAGACCTTACCATCTCTTCAATATATGGGAAAAGCATATCGCCAAAGTACTCTGTTGCTTCTATAGGAAGTTGTGCTGGCAGATTGTCAATGGAACACATCAGAATCCCAGAGCCTTCAACGCTGAAACAGAGAACATAGCTCTTCTAAACCACTTCTCCTTGGTACCTGAAAGGTACCACCTTTCAGAAGTGTTTTAAATGCATGATTTTTCAATCTAGTGTTTCACTGTACAAATTGCAGAGGAAAGCAATAAAAATTAAAGGCTCTCCCACCTGTCATGAATAATATGCTGGTCAGCGTCATACATACAAAATGGACTGTCAATTGTTGTACACTCCGTCATAAATTCTATAGATCCTCCAGTGTCTGCTGAAATGTCACATATCGCCAGAAGTCTAAAGCGATTAAAGAAAAAAGAGAGAGGAATAGAGCATTAAACAAATTACTAAGGAACGTAGGTGTAAGAGATCACAAGTGAACAGGAAATAAAAGGAACGTGAGAAGATCTATCAGAGTTGTAGTTTCATTCAACTTAACCAATTTAGACATCAACACAACACGAACAATGACCTCCAGAAACAGAACGGAAACCTGGTCATTCTGTAGTCATAAGATTTCGACTCACATCAACAGGATCCGTATTTCATGTGTAACTTCCCAAAGACCAGGAGAACCCACTCATCCATCATTTTTCCTCTGTACTCCATGTACTTCCAACATTTCTCATTCATTATGCATCTACCAGTTCCCCCGAGTTGTCACTGGGCAGTCCTGCGCTAGAATAACGTCACCATCGTAAAGGGAAACCTAAAGAGGTGGCTGCCTCCTTTCAGTTCACAGACAGCTGGCACAGCTGGAGCATTCATTAGCCTAACTCACAACCTCTGGCTCCACTCAGGGTTAACACTTAAATTCTTTATTTGTCAAGTGAGAGAAAGAAAGGCATCAAGAGTGGGCAGAGAAGAGACAAAGACCTGCTTCCTCACCAGGATCCAATGCCGTAACCTCCCCAAATCCATCCCCGGGCCAGTCACCCAGAGAAATATTGCACAGGGCTATTAGAGAAAGGGTGGCTCCTACCCGCACTGAAAGGAGACTAACCCTGGATTTGCACCCCATGTTCTGTTCTTAAAGCTATCCAGGGTTGTGAAGCATCCCCACTACCTGTTGCAGAAATCAGAGGTGTTAAGGAACAGTTATTGAACTTGTACAAGCCAAATGACAGGGTAGGAAGAACTTAACCAACAAATTCTGCTCAGGCACAGAAACTTCTAGTAATAATGGTGCGGTAGGTACATTTCCCAGATGTCACACTGTTTGTATTGGATTCTGCACAAGGATCAATGGCAGAACTACTTTTGCAGAAAGACAGACGATACCTGTCAATCATTTGTACTGTGATGTTTTCAAAAACTCCGAACTGTGAAAACAAGGCTGCAAAGCACAGAAGAACGAAAGCAGAATCAATGGGGCATTTTGCAACACGCAAAAGGAACAATATAAGAAACAGAATCATTTGGTAGATATTGTGGTGAAACTGCCTAACATTACAACTTAATCATGGCGATGCAGAATTGTTATGAGTGAACTGAGGTGTCTTACTTGTGTGGTAACTCAGGACAGCCGTCCATTGCACCAGCAGCAGATCTAACTGGCAGCAGCAGCTTCTGAGCATCCTGTCGACTTAACAAGCGAGGAGTATGCTGTTCCCAGTATATGCCATTTGTAGGGTGCAATCTGCAAAGAAAGTTACAGATGCTCTCACCTAGTACTTTAAGAAGTTGAAAGCACCTAGTCTAGTGTTTTAAATGAATGCTCTCTCAATTGATGGATATGCCAAGGTGTAGCAACTACCAACACTGTGGAAAACCTTTCATAAAAGAACAGAAGAGATGCTCACATCAGTGTTAAAGCGAGAAGTGTAAAGTTCTGGATGTTTATCGTAGTCGACTGGATCATATAGTCCATCATGTTTCCTTACAAGATGATGGTGACGACTTAACACTGTTCCATAGACTTTTCTGAGGTCTGAGGTGAAAAAAAACCAACCAAACAAACAAACAAACAAAAAAATCTGTTATACTTGGACAAAAAGGGTTCCAGTGTTTTCAGTCTCTTTTTTGTCACAGCATACCTCCAGATCTGGAAACTTCCTTTAACTCATGTGGTTCCACAAACTCACATGGGAGGGCATTGAACATTTCTTGAGCACCCTGTAAATCATGAAGTAGGATTCAGAATGAGCAGAGAATATAAAGGTAGTGTAACGCTGCTCATCTGGTATGTGAAAACAGATACAAAAATGCCACACACAACTTGACAGTCCTGCTAGAGAACATCTTCAGAGACGTACAAAGTGTTTCACACGTACCCCGCTTATCCAAAACAAAGCTGCCTGGGCTCTATGTACAAGGAATTTACATCATTCCCCATTACTGCAGCATGCCTGACCCACAATCCAACATCTGGTTTATATTTCTAATGGCAGAGCTGGGAGACCTCAACTCAGCCACAACAGATGGTTTTGCTGCCACTCTGAGGAGCAGTTTCTCTTTAGGGAAGACCCCTGAAGCCACTCCCTCACCAACCAGGCTGTTCTAAAGGCAAAGAACTTCAAGGCGACTTTCCCAACGAGCTGTGATCATAGAACATGGGCCTTTCAGACATGCCACCCTTTTGTCCAGGAAGCACACATTTACATAGGCAGTGATTTCACTTTATAACTGGAGCCTAGTTAACTGATCTTTGTAGCCAAAACCAGGGGTAAGCCTTTTCCCTGTGTTGTACAAAACAGCTCTAAAGTCCAGCACTTGTTAGCCAAGCCAATGCTATAAAAACAGATATAAAAACTCAGCAAGTATTAGAAAAAATAATTCTTTCCCCCATACTTTACTGGGGTGATTCAACATACCTTGTGAGCCCAGAGTCAACAGAGGGGAGAGAGGAAGACAAAAATCATGCAGGTGGGAAAGGAGAGAGGAGCATTAAGGCTTAACCCATTTTTCACGGTAAGAAGTTAGCATGATCAGCCTTGTCAGGCATGATCTCATCTTAAAGGCATTAGTTTAGAGTACTTAAAAATTCTTACTGGCAAAGGAAAACCTGAAGTCCAAGCACACAAAATGAATCCATCAACCCATTTAACTTGATATGTATCAAATGCCAAGAAGTTCTATTAAAAATAATATAGCATTTCATCTTGAAGACAGAATTCTTACCTTAGAAACATTACCAGTGCCTGTAAACACAAATGTTAAAGGCCCAACTGACTTTGGCATCAATCCCAATGAAATTTCATACCCGGCATCCCGTACTGCCTGCACAGCCTGACTGCTATTCCTGTAGTTATGTGCCATCCCAATGTGCTGAAATCAAAGGCGCAGAACCATCAGGATATTTTCCATATTCAAATACAGATAATTAGCAGATGCTCAAATGTCATTTTGCTGAAGAAAAATACATACACCTATACTCTTACCATGAAGGGAGTATGATGTCCCAGGGCTAAAAATCGTAATCCCAATCCATGTAGAATGTTGATCATTCCTATTGTTAAAAAAAAAGAAAAATCAGACCACCAGTGTTAATTATGAATATGCAGTTAGAAACTGCAGAGACCGACTGAAGTCTAAAATGATCCTGGATATTTTCGCCCGCGTTTTAATATTAATACTTTACTTCTAAAGAAGGTCTACATAAAACCAGTGAAGGAGAAAGTCAATAGCAGGCCATGACCTCAAACCTGCTCTTGGTCCACATTATGCATTTCAGCACTACTTAATACTCGGATATCCTTTTATGAGATGCATCCACATCACCAGATTCCAAAGAAGGAGATAATAAAGAGACTCCTGAAGAAACAGAGTTGAAGTTTAATAGAAAGGAATGAGAACCATGCCTCACAAAAATCAGTGCAAATGGATAACAGAGTGACAAACAGGTGTTGTTCAAACTCGCAGGACTGACAGCAGCCATTTCTTTCAAAAGCCTATTCAGTTGATCTCTTGAAATTTAGTCTGCCTCAGATTAGTTGAATAGACAAACAAGACTTCAAGACAACATAAAATAGTAGATTTGCCAGGAATCCACAGGACTATTTGACATGTGGTCTCATCAAAAGTATGGAGCACAAAACAGAATGGAAAAAAGCTCTTAAAAGCAAGAGTTAAAAATGCAGTTAAAAATGCATTGCAAGCCTCAACCTTCAGGAAACGCAGACATCCAGAAGTATTACAAGATGTTACTTGTTGCAAGCCTGCCTTTACTTTATGCACTATACCTGCTACACCAGCCCACTTTCCAAAGGCCACAACTCGCATTCCTTTATGATCAACCATTTTTTCATAGTCAAACAGTCGAATTTCCTGAAAATACATAGCAAACTGAGTATTAAAATTTTCAGTGAATGCAGCCAGTGGCACGTTGCTCTCCTAGGAACTACCTTTTCATATGCTTTTGTCATCCTTCGTGAGAGAGGCTGATGGGTGTATATGAGAAAGGCAAATAATTCATAACACGATTTAAGTATAAAAATAAAAACCTAAAGGTTGCATTGAACTCTTGTTTTAAAGTCTCTGCACTGCCCATGCGCTCTTGGCACAGAGCTCCCCAGCGTGCCACTCCAGCTGCTGCAGACCCATTCGCACCCTCTGCCAAGAGGCTGCTCATTTCTGAGTGAACTGGCTGCCTCCCTCTGTAACGACCAATACGCGCTCTAGCTTAATAACTTTCCAACAAGCTTTCTGCTCACACAGCACGAACCTCTCTTGAGCATACCATGCTCGCAACTCACCTGCCTTACACACATAAACATCGCAGCACTGCAAGGACAAGACCCTCTGAGCAAGAAATACTCAGCTCCAGGAAAGGATACTGAAAACAGTCCTCGTTAGCTATCTACAAATACGCGTGATGAAAGTAACCACACTAGGCAGCAAGCTCTCAATCACACTTCAGCATTAAGTTCAGTTTCCACCCCATGCTAATAGCTAATTGTCTTCGCTATGACACAATTTACCTGTCTTAGAATCTCATCCAAAAGGGGCATGTTTGCCTCTTGGGCTTTAATAGTGTGAGAGAAGAAGGCATAGTTCTTTTTAGGGATCAATTTGTCCTCTGGAGGTCTCTTCACACCTATTATCAGAGAAGCCTCGGAAATATCTTCTTGAATAATGCCACCTGCTTTGACGTAATCCTATGAAAGAGAAAAATCAAAGTAAATTTTTCTGTTTTTTTTAATATTCAGATCTCCACACATAAGCAACTAGAACAGAGGACAAATAGATAATTCTACAAAGCAGAAACAAGTTACTGCATGTGATACGCTCAAAAACCTCTTTATAAAAAGGTGTATCAAATATCAAACTGAATTTCCATGCTAATATCCTATTATACAAGGCCAAAACATAATTATGTGTTAGTAAAATCCTTCATCTTAAATTCACAGACTACAAAGAGGATATTTTACTACATTTAAAGCATTTTATAGTACTGCAATAATGAACAGTCCTTTGTAATGTGTTGAAATACTTGGGAATAAGTTTAGAGAAAGCTGACGAATTAATCTGAAGACTGATAACACGTGATTTTATAAAATTGTATAAGACTAAGTCCAAGCTGAAGAGCAACTTCTAAAAGAATGTTTTTCCATATCAGAATTTATTTTTGTTCTCCCTTATCTCAAAAACATATTAAAATTCCAGCTTTCAATATTGGAGTTGTGTACCTAATGTGATCTGTGCTTTGCTCAAAACCAGCACTGTGCCTTAATTAAAAGGTGATATGTGAAAGTGATCACTAATTCCCTACGTACGTTTCAATTTTTATCTGTTGGCTCAGATACCTTACAGCACAGTATTACTGCTACTACAAGAACTGTAAAAGAACTGTAACAGAACAAAGAACTGTAAAAGCTCTCAGTCCTGAAGCTCACAGCATTACAGAAAAAAAACCCCTCTCTCCTCATTTTAAATGAGGAATGGGATTGAAGCAGGAATAGGATTCACCAGATTTGTCCTTCCTTTTTTTTTTTTTTTAAATATGCTTATTTTTAAAGTGTTGCCTCCATACAAACAGAAGACAAAAACATCAATGTTAAATGAATTCCCAAGTTTCTACTTCAAGAGCACCCAGAACTTCTTCAGAGACAGATAAAAGGCAAGAAATCAGTAAAAACAACTCCAAAAACCCACTACTGTCCCAACATTACATTAAAAGGCTAAACAAACTACTTCTTGTTCTCTCCACTAGGACACAATGACTCCTTATTTAACAACAAAATGAATAATATGTTTTCTCATGTATATCATTTGAATATTATTTTTCCTGTACTACAGTTAATAGCCGAACTATGGTTTTGCTCGTCTAACTCAAAATGGGACCTTACCTTTTCATGGATGGCTCTCCTGTTTGACGGCTGCACCAAGACCTTGTATCCCATCTGTGTCAACTCCTTAACATGCTTTGGTGCTAGAGGTGCTCTTCTTTCCCATGCATTAACATCTTCTCTCCTGATTGCCAGCACAGGCTTACAATGATGCCAACACTTAGCGTGATGGAACACACACCTACCATTTGTGTGACTAAACGCTCGGAGCATGGTAAAGCCTGATGGCAGCAAAGACAAAGTAGTAAAATAATACATGTATAGGTATGCTTCAAATATTGTTTGTGCAAAAGTTCTGGTCTCCTTTAACATCTGCTGTAAAACACAAACCACATACTTTATACTCTAGTTACACACCCTAATTTTGTGAGACATGAATTTACTTTCCGCGTACTTTGTTGCATTTCAGTTTGGTGGGGTGTCCTTACAGAAACCAATTGTTTGTACTACTGTAAAGGAAGTCTTTTAATGTGTTCAAGGTACCAAGTTTTTAATTATATGGGTTAAAAAGAATGCTGGAATCTTAAAGATACCAGTTAAATTCATTTGCCAGCAAAAACATGCAAAGACCAAGCACTTACCAAAGCTTGCATCAAGAACAGTAAGAAGTAACAAACACACAAAAAGAAAGTACAGCACAGGCTATAATGCAAGCAGTTGATTAAAAGAGAAAGCCCAATACGTAAGACCAATGCTAAGTATTTTTATATAACTAGTTCTTACATGAGCCGAAAATGGAAGATAAGGACAAGAGACCTTAATGACTGCTTAGCAATCAGCATATGTGTGGCCAGGAGCGACAGGTTTTCTTCCTAATCAAAATTTTATGCAAAGTGGAAAAGCCTCATCAGGACAGATTCCCACTGCAGAGGATTATCCCTTTATTTTCTCTCCCCTCCTCTTCACTCCCAGTGAAATATATATCCCACTGCTTAGCTCTGCTGTGAATAGCAAGGGCTCTGCACAGGTCCAGCACCAAACACCTAGGAGCCTAAGGACTTAAGACATTTATGCAATTAAAAGATGTGGCTCTCAAAGATAGCGGCTTCAAAGATGTGAACTTTGTTTTCAAAGCAATTTTAACTGATAATTACATGAATCTCTGTATCCGAATCACTTGGAAAATCCCGTTTGTCCTCATGCCTCAATCTTGTAAAATCTGTATATGCCTAAAGCCTTAAGAGGTCCTATTTAACTCCAGGCTTGCTTAAACAGAAAAACTAGCTCACAAAGGAAAGCAGAAACAGAAGCAGCATCCTTTACGTTAGCTCCAACTGTGGTCTTCCTACCATCGCTAGACTGTCCACCAACAGAAGTTATTGTACAGAAGTTGGCGTTATTTGATGACACCGCATGCTAAGAGGATCCTCAGAGAGCATGTCGGTACCTCTCAGAAACAGAGGGTCTTGCCACCCGATGTCACTACTACTGCGCACTAAAATATAACGATGAGAGCAGCTCATACCAATGCACTGTACCTCAGACCCAAGCCTGCAGTGAAGCAAAAAAGTCGCACAGAGGAGCCCCACCAGAAGAAAAACGCCGCTTGCAGGGGGGAGTGAGCTGCCCTGCACGTACCGCCTGTGGGGGCCCAGGGCCGCAAGCCAACGCTCCGGTGGCCTCCGGGCGGCCACACGTTCACGCGCGCGCCTCCCTGCCTGTGCTCAGGCTCAGCCACAGCGACACTGACACCCTGTTGTAACGGCGAAAGTAACTTTGGCACGGAACGCCTGCAGACCTGGCGAACCCCGGCCGCCCTCCGCTGCACGCCGGCCGAGCCGGGGACCCGACGGCAGCGGCGCGGCGCCTCCCACGCTGTGCGGGCCGTCCCACGCCGCTCTGCGTTTCACCCAGGCTGAAACAGCGCTGAGCGGTACAGCGAAGGCAAAAAAAAATAACGGCAATGCATCTGCTGACAGCACGCTACCTGAACATGGCCCTGTTTCCAGGGTGAGCGGAATACACTTACACGGGCAACGCGTGCCTCCACTTAACTACCTGAGACCCGGCTGACCGAAAGCGCCCGGCGCCGCCAGTGTTTGGCCCCCCGACCCAGCGGCCCCGGGTCTCACAGGGCCCCCCCCGCCCCCCGGGAGGAGGGGCGGCGACAAGAAGGGCAAAGGAATCCCCGTTCGGAGAGGCAGG